CTTGTTGATTGGGGCCTGAAAGGACACATCCTTCACTTCGTCCGGAACTTTCTGACCGACCGATCTTTTCGGGTTTCGGTCGGAAACGTGCAATCCGGAAGTTTCAGTGAGGAAACCGGAGTGCCACAAAGTTTGGTGATTGCGGTAACCCTCTTCCTGGTGGCCATGAATGAGGTCTTTGACCAACTACCCAAGAACGTTTACATCTTCGTCTACGCGGATGACGTCCTCATTGTAACGATGGGTCCCACCCTGCAGAGGACGAAACTGAGAGCGCAAGCGGCAGTCTGCTCGGTGGTCAGATGGGCTGACGCTGTTGGTTTTCAGCTTTCCGCCGGCAAGATCGTGCGCTGCCATATATGTACCACCAGGCATCGCAACAACGGACAGTCCATCATGATTAAAAAACAAGCAATACCGACCAACAACACCGTGAGGGTCTTGGGAGTGCTCCTCAATCGGAATTTATCCTTTGAGCCGCACTTCCAACAAGTAAAGAAGGACTGTCGCAGTCGGTCCAACCTGGTTAAGACCATCTCCCGCCCCCACCGATCCAACAATCGCGAAATCCGCTTCCGCGTAGCTCGAGCCATCATCGACAGTCGCCTACTGTACGGTGTAGAGATTAGATGCCTTGCCGCCGAGGAAGCCGTCCAGATTCTGGAACCGGTGTACAACGGCTACGTTCGAACAGTCTCCGGTCTCCTGCCCTCTACCCCGGTATCCTACCTTTTCGGACCGTTTTCACCGCAGCTACTGCTACCAAAGCCGCTGCCTTTCTCGCTAAAACGTCGGGAAACAACAGGATCGTTCTCCTCGACGAGGCGAACCGACTCCTCCTCACGGCCGCCGACGTAGATCTCCCTCCAGTGGCCAGGGTCCACTGGCACGGAGACAAAAGTTGGCAATCGCACAAGATCAAAATTGACAGCCAAATCAAGGACCGCTTCAGGGCAGGAGTCAACTCGCTGGCTTTACGCCGGACAGTTGTCGAAACTCTCGGGGCGCACTACCAAGGTTATGAAGTTAGGTACACCGACGGCTCTCTCTCCAGGAGCGGAGTGGGAATGGGGGTCTCCGGAGATGGTTTGTTTGTGAGCAGATCGCTCCCGACCCAATGCTCGGTGTTCTCAGCTGAGACAGCGGCCATTCTCCACGCGGTTAAGTTACCGGCCAACCGGCCGATATTAGTCGTAGCTGACTCACACAGCGTGATATTGGCCCTAACAACAGAAGATGCTCAAAAGATGTCAAAAAGTAGACGATTCGGAGAGCCTGGGACACCGAGTGGAGGAACAACAGGACACATCTCCTTCGGAAGATCAAGGCGACCACCTGGAATGATCAACCAAACCTAAGAAAACAACGATTGGTGTCAAGGCTGCGCACCGGGCACAACAGAGTCTCCTACAACTTCGGAGGAACACCGTTCCGGAGGACCTGCGAAACCTGTGGAGTGCCAGCCACCGTGGAGCACATCCTCGTGAACTGCGCGGAGCTGGAGGACCGTCGGGCTGCCTTCGGCTGGGAGTCAATCAGCATTAGGAACCTGTTGGGCGATGAGTCCCCGGCAACAGCCGCCCTCATCACCTTCTTTAAGGAGGCGAACCTTTACCACAATATCTGAGTGTTTCCGTTTTGTTGGCCCTTTTGGCAGTTTTCTACACCACAGCCAAGATTGGGAATCTCCTTCTGAGAACCCAATTTTTCGATACGGAATTTTCACTGAACGTAAACCGCAAATTCACGGATTTCACCAGACCCAACTGCGAAACACGTTCAGAAGCACTTTTGGTACACTTTTGATATCAATTTCGTTCGAAAACACTTAATTTTTTTGCAAAAATAGTTGCAAGCGAGCCAACATCAACATCGATCGTGCCAAGCTCTTTCACGCACCTTGCAGCGCGTAAATAAACTGAAATTAAAAATTATCACTCGCGATGCCACTAATTTCTGGTCCGGGAGAAAAAATCAAATAACGCAGACAGCGACATCTCTTCTGATGCTTGCAAACATGATGCATCACGTTTTCTTTCTCGCTTCAAAAACTTCCCAGAAAGCGATAAAACTACCACTCACACACGCATAGCCGTCCGGGAGGCAGAGCGCCAGCGCTAATCCGGCAAATGCTGCCGAAAACTATGAAAGCGAATGCACGCAAAAAAAACAGAGAACAAACTTAAAACACAACCGTGCCCAAAGGGGAACTGCACTCCATTTTTGCTTTAAATGAACTGCAATTCTTACCAAACTGTGGTGAGTTTGAGTTTTATGATTTCTGCTTTAAATCCGAACGTGACCCGAAGCTACCGTCACTGCTGGCAGCAGTAGCTTCGTGTCTGCCATCGATGAAGAGTAAAGAGAGATAGTAAACGATGCTTTCTCTTTCTAAGAAAACGATGTACAACGGAAAACGGAATCATTTTTGTGCCGAGTATCTCTCAAAAATTTACAAAAAAATTAACATGTTGCCAATAATCTCGCAATATCAAAGGAGCTTGTGAAATCAGTATCAAATATGATATTTTGCTCCAATATCACGCGTGATATTGAGAGCTGATTAAATCGGATAAATATTATTTGATTGATGATTTCGCCAGCCCTGCAATGGCTATAAAACGCCCATGCATTGTTATGCCAAAAATGACATAGGATCGGTAAAATGGTACATTCACTTTAACACATTTTGTAGTTCATTTATTATTTGTCCAGGATGAGGATTGAACTCGTGACTATCAGCCTGAGTGCACAAAATATTCTCCCATAATATTTCCGGTACACTGAAACCTCCGTTTACGAAGTCTTTTTTTACGCAGTATTCAATTTACGTCCCTCTTTTTACGAAGTAAATCCCAAATAACGAGTTTTCTTTTTACGAAGTAAATTCCAAATAACGAGTTTTTTTGTGATTTTGTGAAACTGGGATATGCTGTCAAATACCCCATAATATGGATATTTTTGGAATCGGAGCGACGTATAGGGACCGGAAATCGATGTCTGACGCCATTTTTAAATCCAATATGGCGGCTTCCGGTTACAGAAAAACGTGGAAATTCTGCCAAATGCCAAATGCAATATGGGTATTTTTGGAATCAGGGTGATGTGCAGGGACTTGAAATCGATATCTGACGCCATTTTGAAATCCAAGATGGTGGCTTCCGGATACATAAAAACTTGGAAATTCTGTCATATACCCCACAATCTGGGTATTTTTGGAACTGTAGTGACGTGTAAGAACCGGAAATGTATGTCTGACGCCATTTAGAAATCCAAGATGGCGGCTTCCGGTTACAGAAAAATTGGCAAATACCACTAAGTCACCCCGATTCTTAAGATACCCATATTGTAGGCTATTTAATATTATTTTAATGTTTGTATGTAATCGGAAGTCGCCATATTGAATTTTAAAATGTCCATCAGACATGGGTCTTCAGTCCTAATAAGTTACCCCGATTCAAAAAAACAGTATTTTTCAGTGTTTCTGTAACCGGATGTCACCATCTTGGATTTCGAAATGGTGTCAGACATGGATTCCCGGTTCTCACAGGTCACCCCGATTCCAAAAACATCCATATTGTGGGGTATTTGACATAATTTCCATGTTTTCCTGTAACCGGAAGCCGCCATATTAGATGGCATCACACATCGATTTCCGGTCCCACATCACACATCGATTTCCGGTCCCTAAACGTCACTCCGATTCCAAAAATACCCATATTGTGGGGTATTTGAAAGAATTTCCAAGTTTTTACGTCACTGGAAGCCGCCATCTTGAATTTAGAAATGGTGTTAGACATCGATTTCCGGTCCTTACACGTCACTCCGATTCCAAAAATACCCATATTGTGGGGTATTAGGCAGAATTTCCAAGTTTTTCTGTAACGGGAAGCCGCCATCTTGGATTTCAAAATGGCGTCAGATATCGATTTCCGGTCCCTACACGTCACCCTAATTCCAAAAATACCCATATTGTGGGATATTTGACATTTTTTTTTCAAAAACCTCTTTTACGAAGTAAATCCCAAATAACGAGTTTTCATTTTACGAAGTTTTGGTTCGTAAATGGAGGTTCCAGTATAGAAACATCAAACGGCCTCTGCACAGTCAGTTTTCAACAAAATGAGTTCAAATTTTTTAGGTGGATGGTCAGCACCTGATTTGAAACCGGTCAAGGCTCTGAACCATTTGGTGGATTATTTTAACTTTTGGTTAAAATTTGACAGATGGAAAGTTATCGATTAACCCTACTATTCTTTCTGACAGACAAGAAGTTAAATGTTGACAACCGTGGCTGAGTTCTTTTCGAAAACCGGTCGATCAACAGCACAGAGATTTTCGAACATCAAGAATAACTTTCGAAATGTCACTTTTAACCACGTGTTAAATTTAACTCGGCAAATGGTTCACAGCGTAAGCACCGTGGAGAGAAAATTTAAAATGTTACATCACTCTAGTAGGCATAGATAACCCATCCGTCCCGAAAGGGTGAAAGTAAAGCTTTAGTAACAAGCCCAAAATGGAGCATCATTGGAGCGAAATTACCCTGAAAATGATTCTTGAAATTGGCAATAACTACAATTGCCCCTCCAGCGTTCGTGCCAAGCTGGCGTCACTGCTGCCGCCAAAGCCATCCTGTCCGGTGTACTGTTTGGTTTGTGTCCGTCCTAACATAGCATCACCGTCATCGTTATGCAGATGGTGCATAGTTTTAATGGATTTGTAAGTTTTGCTTTTTATTACCCACCGAGTAGTGGCCACGAATGCAAATCAGGCACTCGATGAGCTCAGCCACCGTAGAACCAACATCATCAGTGTGTGTCGGCTGGCTGGATGGCTGGATGATTTTAGCATAGAAACATAAAACATGGAACGTGGTGGCGCTCTTAGCTCGGATCAGCTCCGGAAGTAACTCATCCCCGTAATCCCCACGGATGGAACCTTTCCTTAAGTAAAAGCACGTACTGCCCTTAACAGACTGAATATTCAAAGCAACTTACCAGCTCGGTTATCCACCAGGACCTCGTCCACTCCGGCGCCCACCGGGGAAGCGTACCGATCGGTCGTTGTGGATGTCGCCTCGTTGCCAGTCCATCGGTTGTCCTTGTTGAGCAGCAACCGGCCGTTGATGGGAGTCTGCTGGAACTGGTGCTGCGTCACCGGATCGCCATTCAGCTTGAAGAATCCCAGCACCAGGAAGGACCAGATTCCCAGCCCGAAAATGAACTTGAACACCACGCGGGTTTTCGGCGACATTCTGTGGGACATTTTTGTGTCGTTGCGTTTTCGCTTCTGCTTAACTGCGATTTTAAGGTAGTGGTTGCTTTAAGTGATGATTCTTGTATTTGATTTTTTTTTACAGTAATTGATTATTCTAGTGTAGCTGGGCTATGGTGCTGACTGACAGGTTATGGGTAGTGTTGTGAGTAGCTACTTAACGATCATATCGCACGTTATGATGACCCGTATGATGAAGAGGTATGTCTGAAAAAGAGAGAAATTTATCGAAAAATTAGTCGTGTTTCTGTCATTCAAAGATTCAATCATCGCAGTGAAATTAACTGAAAACTTGTTCCACGTGCCAATCCGATTCACCTGACCCGATCAAACTTTCCCACACACACACACACACATGCCTTAGCAAAAGTACCGTTTCCATCGAACCCTTCAGTTGACGACCGTCATCAATCAAACACATTCCATTGACCCCACTCTGGCTGGTGCTTGCTCGTCAGAGACACCAACAGCATCTAAATCCACGGTCAACCTCATAATGAACGTCGTTGTCGTCGTCGTCGTCTTCGCCACCGAATCTAATGAATGATGTGTGTCTCAAGATGTTTATGTGTGTGTGAAAGAGCTCGTCTGTCTCTAACAGCATCTAACCTCTTTCACGGTCGACCCAGTTGTGAACCAGGCCTTGAAAGCCTTCTAAAAACGTGCCTCTCGCCAAAAGCGAACCTTTACAAACGGCCATGTCCAATCAAGCCCGCGGCTATTATTTCTCCAATCTTGAAGCATCTTCCCAGTCCGACGGTGCGAAGGAAGCGAAAAAATCGACAACCAATGCTTCTTTCACTGCCCATCTGACGCGACGCGAGCGTTTATCATACCCACATGCTGAGGAAAGCATTTTCCGCCTAGATTTCGGCGCCACCTAACCCATTCCATGAGCAGCAGCAGCATCATCAGCAGGGGACACGAGGGGCAATTAGAGTAAAAACAAGCGATTAGAGTGGTTTCTTCTCCCTTTTATTGCTATTATTATCTTTATTGTGGCCAAGAAAAGGAGAAATGGGAAATCGCCTTCTCGTCGTCAGTGCCATCATCATCAGTCGTCAACCGTTGCTGGATTTGTTCATCAGGTAAATACCTTTGTCATCACCCACTTGTGAGCTGGACCTTGCGTGTCAGATGGTGATTAAGAGTGGAATTACACATTTCGTGATTTGCTCGGGGTTTCTTTCAATTGTTCGTCTCTTGGTGTGCTTTCTTCTTGGATTCAATATAATGTTTTGGAAGACAAATGAATGCAGAATAAATTTCATCGGAGCAACTCAAACGATTCATCTTGAACAAACAGTCCAGTTTTGATGGCGTGCTGTGTAGAGATAATAATCACGTATACAAATAAGAATTCATACTCTGCTGCTCTGCATTTTCACAAAAAGGCGACGGAGCGACAAGTTGTTAATTGGATATCGTAATGTTTCAGTGCCGAAACCACCAGAATATGGATATTTTTTGCTATCGATAAGACGAGTCTCATTCAACTTTGCGGCATTTTAGTTTTTGATACAGGTTCAAATAACTCAGTCTTAACAGTTGCAGTTAACTGGATAGTTGGAAGGAGAAAATTAGTTTGAATTTCACTAAGTATTGTAAAATCAATGGATTGGATTTTAATTGCATTGTACTAAGATATGGATTGGATTGGTTTATGATTGATATGGGATTAATTTTGAATTGGAATTTTGGATAAATTTGCATTGGATTTTGGATGGATTCAAACTGGATTGTGATTTGAATTCCATTTGAATTGTATTTGGATTGGGTTTAGATTGGATTTGGAATCGATTTGAAGTGAATTTGGAAAAGATTTGAACTGTATTTCGGCTAGATTTAGAATTTTACTGTATTTTGGTTGGATTTAGATTTTGGTTCGTTGGTTGGTTGGTTGGTTGGTTGGATATCTTTATTAAGAAGTTTGGATTTTAATTAGATTCGAGCTGGAAAGGGCTTTGATTATGATGAGATTAAGTTCGATTCGAATTGCAATTGAAATGAATTTGGATTGGATTTAGGTTGAATTTGGATATAAATTGGATTATAATTCAAGTTGGATTAGTTATGTGATCGGGTTGAATTAAGATTAGATTTTGATTTGGTTTTTATTAGATTTGAGATGAATTATCATTGGATTAAGATTGATATTTGTAATAGATTTGAACAGGATATTGGTTGGAATTATATTGTTTTTTAACTGGATTGGGATTAAATTATGATTTGATTTGAATAGGATTTTAATTGGATTTTGATAGGAAAATGACAAGATTTGGATTGCATATCAACTGGATTATGATTGGGATATGATTGAATTCGGATTGGATTTTGTACCAATACAATTTCTATCAAAAGTCTACTTAAAGACCTTTTTTTCATTTATTAAATTATGCCCTCATTCAAGATAGGTACAGCATTTTAAACCACCATATTCTTCTTTGACTTTCTTGTAATTTTTTGAAAGAAGTTGCATTAAATTTGGTTGCAATTTGAAAGTACACGATCGCGTAAAACTAAAGTTGAGCGTATACTTCGTGTTATTTAATAATAACACGAAGATTTGGAATACATAGGTTACAAAATCATTTTGTAAAGTTATGTTGGAAAAATGATTTCTATGATTTTCAGTAGAAAAAAAAATGTCAGTGGAAAAATGCTCTAAACTACATGAACTAAATGTTATGGCAATAAAATTCAGACCGAACAAATTTTCTGAAAATGTTACCACAATTTGCTTATTAGTTCAATTTTTAGCTGGTCATGTTTAGTTAGAATTGGTGCAAGGGTTCGCGAGAAAATTGAAAATTAAATGAAAAATCAAAATTTACAAGAGCTGCTCTAGACAATATCTCATAATGTTTTCGAATGGCGTTGTTGGCCTTTCGAAACAAAAGCATTCAGAATAGAAAAAAGCAGTAGAGGGTAATTCAAGACAATTTCAAGAAAAACTAAAGCTAAACTCTTTTCATAATCCAAGCCTAGGTTAAGTCAAATTTGAGCAAAATTTAAGCCAAACTAAAATGCAAGACAAATTTATTCTAAATTGAATCCATATTCAAACAAAGTTCATGCTAAATTGAGGCAAAATGGATGGCAAATTAAAGTAAAATTCAATAAAATTTCATGAAAATTTCAAGCCATATTCTATTAAATTGTATGCAAAATTCATGCCAAATTTAAGACAAATTTAAATCATATAAAAGAATTTAAGCCAAATTCAAATCAAATCAAAGTAAATAAATAAAAGTAAAATTAATACAAAACCAAGCAAAATTCACACGAACTTCTAGCTAATGCAAACTAAATTCACGCCAAAAGCAAGCCAAATTCAATCCAAATTCAATCAAAATTCAAATAAAATTGTATCCAAATTCATATAAAATTCATACCAAATTCAAGCTAAATGCATGCCCAGTTCAATCCAAATTTAAACAAAATTCAAAAACATTTAAAACCAGAATCAAGCAACATTAAAAACAAGAATCAAGCTTAATTTACAAAATAACTCATGCCAAATTAAAGTCATACTCTATCAAAATCCAAACCAAATAAAAGTTATATGTAAACAAAATTCATGCTATGTTCAAGTTAAATGGAAACTCAAGTCATGCAAGCTAAATTAAGCTAAATTCAAATAAAATTGAATCCAATTTATAACCAAATTCAAGCCAAATGTCTGCTCATTACAATCCAAAATCAAGTATAGAGTTTAGTTTTGGGTTTAATTTTGCTTTATTTTTGCTTGCATTTACCATGAATTATGCTTGAATTTGACCTGAATTGCAGTTTAAACTTGGCCCAAAGTTTGTTATAAATTTAAGCAATATTTGAAACCAAATTCTAGCCAAATTTGAAACAAAATTCAGGCCAAATTCAAATAATTCAAGTCTAGTAAGTTTAAGCCAAACCAAATTCGGGTCCAATTTAAAACAAAAATCAATCCAATTTAGAGCCAAATGCAAGCAAAACTCGAGCAAACTTCAAACCATATTTTAATCTGAAACCAGGCCAAATTTATAACACAAATAAAAAATTTAACCAAATTCAATCCAAATTCAAACCAAATTCAAGCCGTATCCAATATAATTTGAAGCCAATTTCAACAAAAGTCAAGCAAAATCCAAGCATAATTCAAGCAAAAATTATGCATAATTCATGCCAAATTCAATCCAAATGTAAGCCAAAGTTAAGACAAATTCTATCCAATTTCAAGCAAAATTTAAGCTAAATTCAAATCAAATTCAACCCACATTCAACAAATTCAATCCATACGTAAGGCAAACAGCAGCTATCCATGCTAAATTGAAGGCAAATTTAGTCAAATTTATGCCAAATTATATCATATTTCAAGTTAAATATAATTAAAATACAAGGAAAATTCATGCCAAAATAAAGTTATATTTAAGCTTGACTTAAGACTAATCTAAAAAAAACTCAAACAATTTTCAAGCCAATTAAGCCAAATGAATTCTGAATTTGTTTGAATTGGAATTTGGCTGGATTGCGTTTAGATTTGGAAAGGATTTTGATTGGATTAGGATTTTTTTGGTACGGGTTTTAAACGGATTACAGCTATTCATCCCGGGTTTGGAATGGCTTTGGATTGGATTTGGATTGAATAAGGATTGGATTTGCAAGGAATTCGAATTGGATTTCGATTGGATTTGGATTGGATTTGTATTTGATTTAGGTTGTATTGGGATTAAAATTTAAATTGGATTTGGATTAAAATTTAAATTGGATTTGGATTTAATTTGGATTGGATTTGAATTGGATTTGGATTGGATTTGGATTGGATTTGGATTGGATTTGGATTGGATTTGGATTGGATTTGGATTGGATTTGGATTGGAATTGGATTTGGATTGGATTTGGATTGGATTTGGATTGGATTTGGATTGGATTTGGATTGGATTTGGATTGGATTTGGATTGGATTTGGATTGGATTTGAATTGGATTTGGATTGGATTTGGATTTGATTTGGATTGGATTTGGTTTGGATTTGGATTGGATTTGGATTGGATTTGGATTGGATTTGAATTGGATTTGGATTGGATTTGGATTGGATTTGGATTGGATTTGGATTGGATTTGGATTGGATTTGGATTGGATTTGGATTGGATTTGGATTGGATTTGGATTGGATTTGGATTGGATTTGGATTGGATTTGGATTGGATTTGGATTTGATTTGGATTGGATT